GCACGGGCACCGACCGGGCCCTGTTCCTTCAGCCCGGGCACCCGCTGGGTCCCGTCCCCTCACCACCCCCGCGGGTCTCATCCCCTCAGCCCGGGCACTGACAAGGGGTCCCGTCCCCTCAGTCCAAGGCCCTGACCAGGGTCCAGCCCCTCAGCTCAGGCGCCAACTGGGGATCCCTTCCCCTCAGCGCCAAGCACAGCAGGGCGGCCATGTCACCCCCTCAGCCCGGGCACCGACAAACTCCCCCAACGTCCCCCAGCTCCCCGCGGCCGTGCCACCGGGCCTGGCTCACGGGATGGGGGTGCCCTTTGCAGGTGTCAGGCCTCTGGCAGCGCTTTTGGGGGATATTTCCCTTAACCCTGTGGCTTTAACACGGCAGACCCCATCCTCCTGTGTGATCTCCCCAGCAAGCCTTGGCGCTAGAGGGCGGCTTTCCCCGGCACCCGTCCGCTGCACGGGGCTGCCAGGGCTGCTGCCTCGCTCCGCTGCTCTGCAGCCCCCACGCAGGAGCATCCAGCAGGTCCCCGGCCTCATCGGGGGGGGCTTCGGGGCTATGCCGAGCTGGGGCAGGCGGTCCCCTCCCATCAAGGGATTGCTACGTGTCAGTGGGTAAAAAAGAAAAAACAATTTATTGTGCAATCTGCATTTTTTGTCCCAAACTACACAACCTAGGCAACATAAATAGAGGGACTGGACCAGCAGTGAGGTTCCCTTGTGATCGGCGGGGTTGGAAGGTGCTGGTTCCTCAAAGAGGGGCTATGAGCCCTTGTTTCCATCAACATATACAATGCAGTGTGGGTCTAGGCAGCATACACATATGCATACTTACATAGATTTCTGTTTGTGGGGTGGCATCGGCCATGCACAGCATAATCACATTATACACAGGGTGTGTTATACCTCAGCACCGACTGCCAGCTGGCTGCAGGCTCTGCACAGCGCTGGCATCTCCTTCGCTCTCGAGCAGGGCCTCCCGGGGGGCCAAGCGCCACAGAGCCCCAGCACCGCTACGGCACCTGACATGCCGATGGGCA